GAGAGCTGGACACCTGTGGTCCTCTGTGGCTTACTTGAACATTTTGAAATTTATTTCAGTGAGGGAAGTTTGTCAATAAAAAATCTATCAATTTATGTTAACGGGGTGGATTCTAAGTATCAAAAATATAAAGTATAGTGTGGAAAATATATCGTCCTTAGCTAGGAGAAAACGATAGATTTGTGTTAAGGGATGGGATTCCAAACTATACAAATAGATTAAATATGTTGGGAGTTAGTGTGTTTAATAAACTTGAATGTCTTCGACGCATTCGTGTCGGTGTCATGAAAGTATAATATAATAGATTGATTTGCATTTTTATCTATTAAAATCTAATTGATTGGCACATTCATCACCGATTTATCTATTATTGTTTCTTTAATAATTATAAACTTATAACAATTGCGTTAATAAACGACATTTTATTTGGTTAATTGAGTTTAATATATGATTAATTTATTTAATATACGCTACAAATTTGATTTTTAATTCCCAATATTTTTGAAAAAATCTCTTTTAATTGCATAAACACTTTTTGAAGTTAACGCAGTCATGTCAAATAATCGCACTTTTAATGCAAATAACGGTATAAATATTAAATTATTTAACTCAAATAAACGCATTACAATATGCAAACATAATTTAAAACCCATTATTTAGAATGTTTAATGCATTTTCTTTATCTTCACTTTAATGTCAATTCATTTATTATTTTGACAGCAAAACAATTGAAAAACTAGCTAAATTATAATGTCAGTTGTGTGACTAATGTTTACCATTTCAGTTTGAGAATTCGTTACATCTACAAGACTTAAATATTCTGAATATTAAAATGTTACAATGTTGACTATAACGAATGCTACGCAAAAGCGATGGTTCAACGTTTTGCCGACTGATAGCGCTGGCTGTCAAAAACGGCAGCTGGCTAAAATAAGGAATGGGACGGGTACAATGTTTGTTTGCCTGTGAAAACTAATTCGCTAATTATTTTATTAGTTAATGCTATTTTGTAAACAAAGTTGTTAATTAGGTTTGCTAATTAACTTGTAATTAATTACTTGTTGTTGCATGTAATTAATTATTATAATTACGAAAATAATTCGACACTCGTCTAACAAGTAGTTTTGATAAATTTCCTCGTTATTGTTTATTTATTTGTTTAGTTATCAATAATTAATAATAATCGAGCTAATTCGTAATTTTAATTAATTAATTTAGTTAAGTTGCCAATTTATTTAATTATTTTAAGCCATTTAAATTAAATGGTAATGATTTTCACTCTAATAAATATAGCTAATGCATTTTTTTCAGAAAAATATCATTATACACATTAGTTTTTACTTTGTCCATAGAAAAATAGCATATTTCACTTTTAACATATTAAGACATTCGCCAAAAAATATTAACCATCCTTTAAACTTAGTCGATCTTACCGTAAAATAGTTAATAATTAATTTCACGCTAACGAAAAATGAGTAATGTCCAACTATCCAATGCCCAAAAACTATTGGTCATACAGAATGATTTGAAGAGTGGGTGACGTAAGACTTGTGTTTAGGACGACAGTCGATGCTGACCTTCTTGGCTTGGACAATGTGAACCTTTGACTTCTAAGTGACGTAATTTTACATCCTCCCCTTCCACAAACACCTGATCCACCACGCAAGCTGACGTGAAACATCTCTGAAGGAATTTTATGGACTGAGAAAAATTAGAGAAAAGTTATTTTGTTGCGCTTTCTTTACATTGCGTTCCAAAACACTATTAATCGGTTTATTCGTTAAGCTAAGCCATAATTTCTCCCTTGCAGCGAGCTTAGGGTAATTTAATGTACCCAAAAAGTAATATTAAATAATCTAAAATTTGGGAGAGACGAATTAAATCCTCCTGATATGGGATGAGAGAACCCATAAGCAATAAACAAATTAGCAAACAATCTAACAGTTGTAAGTTTGAATTGAAAAATTAAATACTACTTTTGAGTTTAACAGTAAAATCATTGTCAAATTAAATTAGACAATAAGAGAGTATGTGTGAAAATTGCGATTTTTAATGACTAATATATTGTTTCTGGTGCATAACGAATTGTTTTATCTTTCAGAGTTTTTGGCTGAACAAATTCTGATTATAAATCTGTGCTAATAGTTATGCCATAACAAGTAAAACGAACAACATACCATGCTATTATACAAAACTATTTGAGTGGACTACAGGCAATTTAAACTAGAGCCCACATTTCCAGGTAGGCATAAGGAAACATTTTGATCCAATTGGGCAAAAGGCGTGAACATTCCAAAACGGTACTCCAAAATTTGTATTCTCTGGGGGCTTCGACTTTCTGCGAACCGTCCCGACCGGGTCAAAGTTCTACAGGACACTTTCCTCAGTAGCAAATGGATTGTAAAATTAACGTACTCCAAAATTAAAATAGATCATTATGGGTTGGGGTTGGACTAATTTGTAAGCCACGATGAATACGATTCTAGTTTTCGATAATTGCATAACAATGAAATATGCAATATTTTAAAGTCGCGTAAATTAATTTTATTTCCTCGATTACTATGTTACTTATTGTAAAACAGTACAGTAATAATTATGGTGACGCTACGTTTATAACCTGTATAATTAACGTAAATAACGTAGTAAATAACCTGTATAATTGTTTGGCTACAATCTTCTAGTAAAAAAAATCATTATGAGGTTGGTTCTGAAATGTTAATATTATTATCTGGACTTTTCCAATGTTTCTTGTGTTTTAAACTACACGACGTTTCTGAAGGTGGATCAAATCTTCAATTTTTCAAGTGAAATTACTATTTACTTAATTAATCTTAAGGGCTAATTACTATTAATGCAGTAATTTCACTTGAAAATGGGAGGAGTCGATCCACCTTCAGAAACGTGGTATTTATAATTTTAAATACAATAAATGTTAGAAAAGTCCAAATAATAATATTAACATTATTGATAATATTTGAACAAAGTAATTTTTTCTCTCGCAGTGTAATCGAATATAGATAGACAAATTAGTAATCATACAAAAATCAATGCCAATTCTTTTAAATAAATTTAACTCCGTACGAACTACAAAAATTATTAACCAATGATCACCACATAGTTTTATGACAATGCAATAGCCTGTCTTTTATCCAACTTATTTAGTTCGTTGAGAGCTTTCGTTACTCTTTTACAAATTCTGTCTACCTTACAACTAATTATAATTAACATAAATATTTAGACCAGTAATCCCATAGTGGAATAGTTCAAACAATCACAAGCTCCGTAATCGTATTAAAGGTAATCCTTTAAGTCGACTACAATGACTTCTATATTCAAATGTTTCACCTGAAAGCCTTTCTTCTAATGGGTTTGCAGAACTAATCCTTCGGTAGGTTTCACAATAATCAGAGATGCTTCTATAACCGGATAACACGATAATGCGTCGATTAGAACATGACCTAATAGGTTTGGTAATTGAGTAATTAACACTTCTCATTAAGTTAATGTGGGACATTATTGGGCGCCAAATGTGGACATGGTCTGGTTGTTTCGCTCATTGCGTCATTCGAGTCAATTTGAAATGTTACGAATATGTCGTACTGTCATAGTTTGTGGATGAAAAGGTCATTCTAAATTAATGGAAACGGAATAAGAAATAGAAGCAAACCCTTTTTTAAAGATAGTTTTAACTCTTTGGTGCTTTTTTCTTATGATTTGATTTGAACAAATGTAATTTAATTGGTTGGTCACTCATAAAATGGTGTGAAAATACACAAATTAATCGAGAGTGTGGTAAAACAATAAATTATGCACCAAATGATTTTGAAACTGCAAGTCCACAAAATGCGACAGTAAACGATTTCATCCAGAAAATTCACAAAAATACATGTATACAAATTTAGTGTAACTTACGGTATATTTACCTAAAGTACATAATGTATAGCTTCAATCTTTTGCACAAATTACGTTAAATGAGACTTCAACGCATGGAAAAACTGAATCACGCTCTGTTATTGATAATATTGACTCTTCTGTGATTTTTATTTACAGTACTGCTGTTAATTTAAGGGTTATAATTAACTATTAAATTTATCAGTCTACAATTAAACTTCATAAGAAACCCAAATAAAACAGTTTTCAACGTTAATTCAAGACTTTAAATACTCATAAATAGTATTCACTTTACAGACACAATAATAAATTGTTGTCTATACAAGAATTGTTTACATCATCGTTAACCAATATTTAAATAGTATGATGGATCAATTTTTAAATAAATATTTTGTGTTAACAAAATAGTTATTAGGATATTGTTGAAGTCATAAACCTTTAATCATCTTTATAAACTATAATATTTTCTTGAACTCATATCAAACCTTTATCAGCTTTAGTGGTTTATAAATTGCAACGACGTTTGGTTTTATCTTGAAGAATAATACTGTTACCCTAATCAAATGTAAAATATTAATTCAGCGAAAAGTACAACTACAGTAGTACCTAAAGTGATATTTGCTAGTATTTATTCACTAGAATAATAAAACAAATGGTGTACATTTATAAATATTTTGCATTTTAACGGGCCTTCTCCATTCATTATCACATACAATCACTTTAGAAATGTTATCATTTGTTGATTAAATTTTATCTTTCAAACGAATAACCTTGTCAAAAACCTTTAAGTTTTGCAAGTTGTTTTAATAAAATAAATGTAAGGTACTTTTACAAATAGAAAAATAGTTTTACCGCTAAAAGTTAGTAGTTAAAATTAAAATTATAGTTCGTTAGTAGCCAGGGGACAACGTCTAGTGCAAAAATAAAAATAAAAAAATATTTCTCCAATTTAGTTTGCTAGCAGATGATTGTAATAATTTTAGGTTCTTGAATTTAATAGTATTTATTTTTTCACGAATATAAAATTATTCGAACTTTTAATCAGCAGCTAGTAGACATCTCTTAAATTAATTCATCTATAAAAAAGGCTAAATATCAAAAGTGCTTACCTTAGCTAAGTAGGCCAACACAAACACAATATCACAAGTCCAGTCAATGAGATGCACAAGAGGTCCACTAGATGGCGCACATGTCCCAGTGGGTCACCAGGCCCGGGATCACAAACACTAACGCTGTACTGTGTACAACTCTCACCACAACGCCGCGTTGGTATTTGATCTATGCCACTGTAGTGTTAGCTGTTAGGGATGTACCACGGGAGGGGGGAAGGGGAGGAGCCAAGGAGACCCCCCCACCGAGAGTCCGTGGTGACCTATTGCAAGGTGATTTCCTAATGCATACGATTAAGGTTGATTTTGTTTGTGAAATTAATTGTGTAGGAAAGTTTGGTGTTTTGGTTGTAATTAATTGGAAAATCGTATAAGACAATATTGTACTGTAGAAACCGATTGTGTTTTTATTAATTATATAAAATTTTGTTTTCACCTTTTAGACGTTTACAAATTTGTAAGCTTGGAAGCTACGGTTACGGTTGGAATGATAATTAAACTAAAATAAATAATGTATAACATTAATTAAAACAAATTGAAAACATTTTTATTTTTTATTAGCATAAATGTTTTAATTGCATTGAAAGATAAAATAATTAAATTTTTCGGGGGGTTGCGTTAAACTAAAAAACATAAAACTTATATTATAAACATTTATAAAAATAAAATAATAACTATAAAAATCCTACTAATATTTTAAATGAAAAAGTATGGATGTATGGATGTATGTATGTTTGTGACAAGTAAACGCGAAAAATACTGGTCGGATTGGGCTGAAATTTGGTATGATGATAGCTCACATTCACAATTAACATATAGACACATTTTTATCTCAGAAGTCCTTTCGGGCTCCGCCCCAGTGGCTCTGGAGTTTCCCTTGTTAACCATATAAGTAATCATATTTAAAGGGAATTAAAGAATTTAGTCAGCTGTTTCAACTACACAAGTTGGTTCTATGATATTGAATAGCATTAAAAAGTTACAAGGGTTACCAACAGGGTACAGTACTATTATTTTTGTACATTTATGAAAACATCTCTCCTATAAAGGCCATAAAGGTTAAATTTTGTTTTTTAAAGGCTTATGTGTAACTATTTTATCAACAGATGTAAAGATCAAAATGTTTCTATTTTTTGTTCTCTTCCCGTTGCAAAGCCAGGGTACAACAGCTAGTCATAAAATAATTCCAGAAATATTATTTATAAAATGAATAAATGATAAGAAGATCAATGTTCTTGAAGTTTTGGGGATTTCTTGCTTAAGATGGATCATATATTGAAACTTGATGTATATAATAAACTTCTGTTTTGTCTGTAGTTCCAATTTATTAAATCTATAGTTTGAGTAAAATAATTAATTAGTGTCCTTTATATTGTCATGTTAAACATTTCATAAATAACAATGTACAAACAATGAATGAATCGTATTCTTCAAGTTGCAGCGGAGCCTTGTAAAAATAAAAAGTATAAATAGGCTAAATATAAAATGCACATTTTCAGGTTTTTGGGGGGAAATCAGCTGCAAATAGTTAGATGCACCTTTTTATTGTCATTATTTCGCAAAAATATCTTTCTATATATTTCGCAGTTAAAAAATCAATTACCAGTTTTCCAGTTACTACTCAATTAATAATAAGTCAAAATCTATTTTAAAATCAGTAGGCCTATTCAATCTGGAAATAAAGCCAAGATAAAAATATATCGTAGACTATGTCAACCAGGTCCAAATAATTGAATGGGTTTAGTAAAAGTTAAAATGTAAATTTATAAACCCCAGATTTAGATTTTGAACTTAAATCTGCAGCTTCATTTACATCAATTTAAAAATAATTAAAAGTGGAATAATCATACTGATGAGTCTCATAAAAAACAATACGAGTATTGAATCATAAAACTATTATAACTAAAACTAAAATAATATGATTTGACTGCTGATATAACTTTAATCCTGGGTGTCAGACATTTATCAATAGCAAAAAAAATCTAAATATGTTCATATTAAGAGTCAATATTCTAACATGTTTAGCTCAATTTCCATGTTATATATTCATTGTTCTATATTTTAGCCATTGTTAAATATGTGTGATGGCAATAAAAGTATTGAATTACAAAATCAATTTGAATCAAATCATGCAGGATAATTATACAATTCCCAAATCGTTTGGTTGTTTTTCAGATTCAATGTGTTCATATTTAAAATTTCCGAGAAATATCTTATCTCAACCATCTCTAAATCTTTGTAAACAAGTTAGTGTTTTGGCAATATGATCATAATAGTGGAAATATTTCCAATTATATAAAAACATTTGATATTACCAGGGCTATAAATGATTATTAATACAAAAAACAATGTGTTTTTCCTCTTTCAAATAGGATTATTCCATGACCACTGATACCATCACTTATGATCAAATATGAGTTCAAAAGTAGAGTTGACCCTTTGTTTTAACTTCTTGTACAGGAAAAATCAATAGGGAAACGAAAATAAATAAATTAATGGATCACGAGAAAATGTAATTCAAAGAAAGAGTGAAATTTAGAGTCATCAATGATCAACAATTCAGAATTATAGGTTAATAAGAAATACAGTAGTTACATTATATGTAATTAAATTGGTCAAAAATCAAACTAAAAAATCACAATCTTCTCAAAGTTATCTACAATTTCTTTATACAATTTAAAATCACAATTTTAAATTTTAAAATGCTTCTTAGAACTTACGGGAAACATATTTATATTTTATTTTCAAAAAAATTAATGTTATTAACAAAATATAAAATGTATCTGATGATATACAAATTACCTTCAAGTGAAGCAAGTATTTATTTTCTACTAGATTGTGATAACGTCGTCGTTTTGTTTCCATTTTGTCGAAATAGTGTGCATTTTAATTTAATTCTAACAACTAAGAGACAATTCTATGCAGATTTTCTAATAATATAAATTACAACTGATATGAACTATTTACGGGTTGCGAATTTAAAAATGTTTGGTTATACCTAAAAAATCAAGGTCATATAATACTAACAAAATATTTAATACGGTATATGAAATAAAAAAGTCCGACCAATTTGAACATCTAGAAACGACCTTCAAGTGACTTTTTTCAAGGGACAAAGATGCCGCCAGATTTCCACCCTCTGGTTTTACAACTTAATTAGTATCTCGTGCAGAAACTACCCCTAACGGTTTCCGATTCGCACTCTTTTTTGGCCGAAGGAGTGTTAGGGTTGCAGGTAAAAAACGAAGACGAAAGTGACCTCAATCCTACGGGGTGGTTCCTCAAACCCAAACTTGGGCGGTGGGAACCGTTATGTTGAAGACAGTGGTTGACATAAAAGGGATGGGACACCTAAAGATGAAAGGACACGTTGTATATCAGCTGAGTGACTTGAGGCTGATTAGGCTACTGTGGGTCTTAAGGATCAACGGACTGACAAATTGTTTCCTTCAGTTTCACAAAATTTTTGCGAATTTGCTGTATAGGGGTAAGGTATTACCGTAGGTCTCATAGAACTTGGATATCAGGGTCAGTTTACTTTTTTGTTTTTATGCCCTGAGGCAAAACAAAAACGATTCTTCCAAATATATACACATTTTGTATGTGTATGTTCGTGAACGCGATAATCCAATATTTGGTCCGATTTTGATTAATTTTGGCATGGACGTAGAAAGGATACACTGTTAAATGTATTCGTGAACCAGCAAGATCGGGTTATAGAAACATTTAGTTATAGGTTTTTGATTACAATGATTTTTCCCGATTGTTACCTTTAAAACATTTCAACGCCCAATTTTCATTAAAACCATCGTATAGGCCTTAAAATACCAGCTGGTTCATAACACTATTAGTACTTAAAGTATTTAACATGCGACAAGAGTATGTATATTTTAATATGGTCTATTGTGGATTATTTTAAATAGAGTGTTGCGGTAATCTTACTAATATTATAAATGTGAAAGTTTGTGTATTTGTTTGTTTGTTTGTTTGAAGTTCAATCACGCATTAACTACTGGATGGATTGGGCTGAAATTTGGCATGATGATACGTCACATTCCCGATTAACATATAGGCATATTCTTATCTCAAGAATCCTTTCGGGCTCCGCCCCAGTGGCTCTTCAGTTCCCCATGTTAACCTTATAAGTATTCATATTTAAAGGGAATTGATGAATTTAGTCAGCTGTTTCAACTAAAAAAATTGGTTCTATGATATGCAAAAGCATTAAAAAATTACAAAATTTACCAACAGGGTGCAGCACTATAATTTTTTGCATTTATGAACAGCTAATTTGAACTAAGGGTCAACAAAAAACTGTAAAGCAGGATTGTTTACAGTTATGTTTATGTTTTTAATTTCCTGAAAATTTGTGATATTTTGCGGATTTTTAATAATTTTATTTATATTTATCTATTGTTTAGGTGAAGAGGTAGACCGTTATAGCTATGGGAAATGTGTAATACTATAGTATAACGTAAATTTAAAGAAGCGAATTTTATCAAATTGTCTCCTCCCCCCATTGCAAACGCAAAGCTATAACTGCAATAAGCATTTTATCGTTATATGCCAACCCCGTACGAAGGACGGGTACTCAGCTAGTACTACAATAAAGTTTTACACGTTTGTAGGTTCAAAAATAACATGCGTGGATTATAATTAATTAGTATCAATATTTACTATAGTTTTATCTGTTCTGATTGCATTTAAATAAACAATTTTTTTAATTTTTCCACTTAATATGGCTTATATTAGTTTGATACACCTGTTATCACAGTGTATTGAGTTAAAAATAAAATAATTATAAATATATAATATCTTTGTAATTTCAAAATGTATGTGGAGTAAAATTATCAATGAACAATTACCTATACGATTGTTTCTGTTCTGTGTGTATTGTTTCTGTAAAAAATCCTAAAATTCATAGAAACAGATTCTTGATATTCTATATTTAAGTAAGGTTAAGTTTACTTTTCACAAGTGCTTTTCAGCTGATCTTACTTCTACCCATTATTGTCTGAGACATGTTTAAATGAATATATTGTTTCAATCTAGAAAACCTTTAGAATTATTAAACTACATTTACACGCAGACATGGCAGGTAGCGCGCCTAGTAGCAGCCTGCCAAAGCTATATCGGATCAGC